CCCAGAGTGCTTCTTCACCCTCTGTCCCAGAGTGCTTCTTCCCCCTCTGTCCCAGAGTGCTTCTTCACCCTCTGTCCCAGAGTGCTTCTTCGCCCTCTGTCCCAGAGTGCTTCTTCGCCCTCTGTCCCAGAGTGCTTCTTCGCCCTCTGTCCCAGAGTGCTTCTTCGCCCTCTGTCCCAGAGTGCTTCTTCGCCCTCTGTCCCAGAGTGCTTCTTCACCCTCTGTCCCAGAGTGCTTCATCACCCTCTGTCCAGAGTGCTTCTTCACCCTCTGTCCAGAGTGCTTCTTCACCCTCTGTCCAGAGTGCTTCTTCACCCTCTGTCCCAGAGTGCTTCTTCGCCCTCTGTCCCAGAGTGCTTCTTCGCCCTCTGTCCCAGAGTGCTTCTTCGCCCTCTGTCCCAGAGTGCTTCTTCGCCCTCTGTCCCAGAGTGCTTCTTCACCCTCTGTCCCAGAGTGCTTCTTCACCCTCTGTCCCAGAGTGCTTCTTCACCCTCTGTCCCAGAGTGCTTCTTCATCCTCTGTTCCAGAGTGCTTCTTCACCCTCTGTCCCAGAGTGCTTCTTCACCCTCTGTCCCAGAGTGCTTCTTCACCCTCTGTCCCAGAGTGCTTCTTCGCCCTCTGTCCCAGAGTGCTTCTTCGACCTCTGTCCCAGAGTGCTTCTTCGCCCTCTGTCCCAGAGTGCTTCTTCGCCCTCTGTCCCAGAGTGCTTCTTCACCCTCTGTCCCAGAGTGCTTCTTCACCCTCTGTCCAGAGTGCTTCTTCACCCTCTGTCCAGAGTGCTTCTTCACCCTCTGTCCAGAGTGCTTCTTCGCCCTCTGTCCCAGAGTGCTTCTTCGCCCTCTGTCCCAGAGTGCTTCTTCGCCCTCTGTCCCAGAGTGCTTCTTCACCCTCTGTCCCGAGTGCTTCTTCACCCCTCTGTCCCAGAGTGCTTCTTCACCCTCTGTCCCAGAGTGCTTCTTCACCCTCTGTCCCGAGTGCTTCTTCACCCTCTGTCCCGAGTGCTTCTTCACCCTCTGTCCAGAGTGCTTCTTCACCCTCTGTCCAGAGTGCTTCTTCACCCTCTGTCCAAAGTGAATGAAGTTTTTAGCTGGACAGATGAGGAGAGGGGGGAGAAGGGCACCTTTGACAAGCCGCCGGCCTCCTATCCTCGTCGAGGCCACCAGTGTGTTAGCGGCCCCTCTCGGGTAAATTCGGATAAATAATAATTAGATGCCTCTACTATTTTTAAATCATGGGTATTAATTAAGTTAATTTATTATGCACCCCATACCCAATCGTGTGGGCGGTGGTGGAAAGGGTTACAGAGGCACATAATGGGTTCAGGAACTGTCCGTGTGTCCATGTGTCCGTGTGTCCGTGTCCAACCACAGCAGGCAGTGATGTGTCACGGCTCATGACAGGCAGTGATGTGTCACGGCTCATGACAGGCAGTGATGTGTCAGCAGACGGCAGCAGTGATTGCAGCAGCAGCAGCAGCAGACGGCGGCGCTGTAGCTGCTGCAGCAGACAGTCTCTCTCTCTAGCGAAAAACATTTTATATCTTCACTGTGACACTAAAGAATATAATTTTAATTAGAATGAGTCGATGTCACACGCTTTTGTCCAGTGTTACTGTTGGCTCTCTGTTCTGTTTTGTCTGTTGTTACTGTTGGCTCTCTCTTCTGTTTTGTCTGTTGTTACTGTTGGCTCTCTCTTCTGTTTTGTCTGTTGTTACTGTTGGCTCTCTCTTCTGTTTTGTCCAGTGTTACTGTTGGCTCTCTGTTCTGTTTGTTCATTGTTACTGTTGGCTCTCTTCTGTTTTGTTCATTGTTACTGTTGGCTCTCTCTTCTGTTTTGTTCAGTGTTACTGTTGGCTCTCTCTTCTGTTTTGTCTGTTGTTACTGTTGGCTCTCTCTTCTGTTTTGTTCATTGTTACTGTTGGCTCTCTCTTCTGTTTTGTTCATTGTTACTGTTGGCTCTCTCTTCTGTTTTGTTCATTGTTACTGTTGGCTCTCTCTTCTGTTTTGTCCAGTGTTACTGTTGGCTCTGTTCTGTTTTGTTCATTGTTACTGTTGGCTCTCTCTTCTGTTTTGTCCAGTGTTACTGTTGGCTCTGTTCTGTTGTGTCCCGTGTTACTGTTGGCTCTCTCTTCTGTTTTGTTCATTGTTACTGTTGGCTCTGTTCTGTTTTGCCCAGTGTTACTGTTGGCTCTGTTCTGTTTTGCCCAGTGTTACTGTTGGCTCTGTTCTGTTTTGCCCAGTGTTACTGTTGGCTCTCTTCTGTTTTGTCCATTGTTACTGTTGGCTCTCTCCGTTGTTTTCATATTACCATTCATATACTTTAGTTAACGTAAGGTCTGGAAATCACTTATTTTACTGTGTCAAACAGTTGAATTGCGCAGACGGTAGTTAGGTTGTGGAGGCTCGTGATTAACGCGGGTCGTTAAGAGCCTGACGTAACTAGTTATCAAGGCAGTCTATTAATGTTGTCCTACGGCTTGGTGATTACATTTTAAATGCTAACTGGCACTGCATCGTATAATGCTGCTACTGACCACGACACTGTTATGTTTGGTAATAACTTGGTGGTGTCGTTGTTCAAAGGTGATGCTTTCGGGGCTTAGTGTCCCCGCGGCCCGGTCCTCGACCAGGCCTCCTTTTTGTTACACACCCCCAGGAAGCAGCCCGTAGCAGCTGTCTAACTCCCAGGTACCTGTTTATTGTTAGGTGAACAGGGGGGCATCAGGGGGTGAGAGAAACTCTGCCCATTTGTTTCCGCCTCCGCCGGGGAGCGAACCCGGAACCTTAGGACTACGAATCCCAAGCGCTGTCCACTCAGCCGTCAGGCAGAGAAAAGGCTTTATAAACGGTTGCGTTTAAGAATTGGGAAAATGCCTCACATTGGGCCATTGGAACATCACCAATAGAACAAGGAGACATGGTACATGCCCCCCCCCCTTGTTCTATTGGTATTGTTCTAATGTGAACATTTCATCTATTTCCACTCTCTCAATCCCCCTAAGTATTTTATAGGTCCCTATCATGTCTCCCTCTTTCCTTTGTCTAGGGTCGTCAGGTTTAGTTTTTCAATCGCTCTTCGAATCCCATCCCTCGCAATTCTGAGGCGATCCTCGTTGGAAACTTCCGAACCTTTTTGGCAGTCTCCTTGTGCGTGTCTTAAGGTGGGAGCTCCATGATGGGCCGACATACACTGCCTATTGATGAAGGCAGTGTAAAGAATGCCTTCATCAATATGAAGGCATTCTGAATGCCTCCTTGTAAGTATGGAGGCTCTGAATGCCTCCTTGTAAGTATGGAGGCTCTGAATGCCTCCTTACTTAGGTCCCTGAATGATGTTCTAACTTTTGACAGCGATACGATACTGACGTGAACCTGTTGAAATTGAAATTGAAATAAGTTTATTGAGGTAAAATACGCACAAAGGGATGAGGTAGCTCAAGCTATTCTCACCCCGTTCAGTACAACTTGTTAATACATATATAGACACAGCACAAACAATAAACATTTTACCAAACATTTCTGAAAGATAAACATATATATATTTCTTCCTTTACACATGTAGTATGTTATTAAACGTACACACAAATACTTTTATGACTATGTACACAGACAATTTGCAAAAGACATTCAGACAATTCAACAAAAGGTAACAATCTTGGTGCTACATTTTTATCTCTCCAGAATATCATCAACCTTTCCGTTGTGACACATCCAGGCTATTTGTTCAGGAACAGTCCTTATCTCAGTGTTGCTATATACATTAATCAACGGGTAAATCAAGAACATAGTGGGTGAGAGTGTGAGACCTCAACATAACACATAGTTTACACTTGGGGTCATTATCATGAACACCTGTTCCATATTGCCAGTAATATTTGTTGTACCCAAGCCTGAGCCCACATGTGTACAGAGTCATTCCAAGCATTTCTCCTTTTACCATATGTGAAATGTTGGTGTTTCGACTCACACACACCAGTAGTGTTTCATGGTGCAAACAGACGCACACACCTGTTTGTGTGTGCGTCTGGTGTGTAGTTTGAGTGGCCCTCCACTCTTGTGAAGGGCCACTAGAGTGTTAGTGGCCCCTCAGGTAAATTCAGGAATAGTGTCATTTAAGAAATTTATTCCACACGAATTGCATTATATATCGGAATGCTTAAATAAGTTCAAGAAACTCCACAAAGGTCTCGAGATATCAGACTGATATAAAATCAAGGTTTTTACACATTATCTGCGAATCCGGTCGATGCCTTCAGACACCTTGTGGAGTCACTTGAATCCCAGATGACATTACTTATAGCATATCGTGGTCCAGTGGTTTAAGGCGTGTGCTTATTAGTACCCATTCGGGGTACAGCTTCGTATCCACTTTATGGCTCCAACTGATTTTCTGAGAAGCCGAATACTCATATATTTCTACTATCAATATTGTTTTAGTTGTGAATATTAAAATGGAGCAGTAATACGCTATATTTAGCTGAGGATATGTTGAATCAACATTGTGCATTGTTTCTGCAGTACCCATATGTAGCCTACTATGTATAATATTCATATGACCCATATGTAGCCTATGTATAATATTCATATGACCCATATGTAGCCTATGTATAATATTCATATGACCCATATGTAGCCTATGTATAATATTCATATGACCCATATGTAGCCTATGTATAATATTGATATGACCCATATGTAGCCTATGTATAATATTCATATGACCCATATGTAGCCTATGTATAATATTCATATGACCCATATGTAGCCTATGTATAATATTGATATGACCCATATGTAGCCTATGTATAATATTCATATAACCCATATGTATAATATTCTTGTTTTAATAACTCCATCGTGTTCCTAACTCTAATAAAAACGTCAAATCTTTAAAAAGTAATAATGGGGTAATGGGTCCCATATAATATAGGTGGGGAGGAATGAATGGCGAAGGGCGTAAGTATATGGAGAAAGAGACTAATGGCCTCGTTACGATTGCAGGGTTCGGCTGACTCGAACTACTCCCAGCCGTCCTCGGATCTGTCGCTCGACGAAGAGAGAGAGAACCTGAGGCGCGAGACGGAGAGACAGGCACTCTCCCAGCTCGACAAGGCCAGGGTGAGCCATCGCTTCTTGTACGCTTTTTGTCGTGTCTGTTGGGGTCACCTGTGTCCCAGCTGGTGGTGGGGTGGGTGGGTGCATGGGTATGTGGGAGTGGGGTGGGTGTGTGTGTGTGGAAGAGCATGATGTGAGTGTGTGTGTGTGGGAGTGCATGATGTGCGTGTGTTTGTGTGTGAGCTTGATTGTGTATGTGGGAGAGCATGATGTGCGTGTGTTTGTGGGGGAGCACATGATGTTTTCACCTAGTTGTTTTCACCTAGTTGTGTTTGCGGGGGTTGAGCTTTGCTCTTTCGGCCCGCCTCTCAACTATCATTCAACTACTTTTTTTTTTCCACACCACACACACACACGCACCAGGAAGCAGCCCGTGACAGCTGACTAACTCCCAGGTACCTGTTTACTGCTAGGTAACAGGGGCATTCAGGGTGAAAGAAACTTTGCCCATTTGTTTCTGCCTCGTGCGGGAATCGAACCCGCGCCACAGAATTACGAGTCCTGCGCGCTATCCACCAGGCTACGAGGCCCTACGAGGCTGATGTGTGTGTGTGTGTGTGTGTGTGTGTGTGTGTGTGTGTGTGTGTGTGTGTGTGTGTGTGTGTGTGTGTGTGTGTGTGTGTGTATGATGTGTGTGTGTGTGTGTGTGTTTGTATGATTGTGTGTGTGTGTGTATGATGTGTGTGTGTGTGTGTGTGTGTGTGTGTGTGTGTGTGTGTGTGTGTGTGAGTGCATGATGTGTGTATGTGTGTGGGACGTGTACTGTATGGTCGTGGGTTGTCTTGTGTGACGTGTACTGTATGGTCGTGGGTTTGTCTTGGGGGACATGTTGATAGTTGAAGGTGCTTGTATGGTTGCGTATTCGTGTAATAGGTTGCTGTGCGTGTGTGTGTGTGTGTGTGTGTGTGTGTGTGTGTGTGTGTGTGTGTGTGTGTGTGTGTGTGTGTGTGTGTGTGTGTGGTTTTTAAGGAGCGTGAATGAGGAGCTTCCTCACAGTAGCACCTTCCTCATAACCCGTCACTAACCTGAGTTTCACCAGCGTGACATAATCCCTCTCCTTCACCCTCATTCTTAACCCCGCGATCTCCTGTGTTTACGTACGGCAAAGTCTGGGAAAAACAAATGCGAGACATCAAGCGCAATTTGCTCGGTTTCGTGCGATTTATAAATAATAATATCTTCTCACAGACTTAATAACGTAGGATAAAAAAAACACACACTTGTGTATATGTGGATTTTATGTAGAGATTTACATATAATTTTTATCACTTTTCTGAAGGCTTTATCAAGGTCTGAGTGTGTGGTTAGGCGGAGACTTTCATCTCGACGACTGTCCCTAGATGGTCGCTGAGATGTAAATGCATCTCAACGACTTCATTCCTAGAGGGGGAATGTCTTGTAGGAAATTATATGATCAGTTGTCCTTGCTGTCGTCCTGGGATTCTGAGAATTAGGGTTGTCATTGATGAAGGTATTCGTCCGGGTGCTAGTCCTTGTGTGGTGACCAAACTGCATCTCAGAAGATGGAGAAGCGACGACGTTTCGGTCCATGCTGGACCATTGTCAAGTTATCACACGACAAGATAATGGTCCTGGACGGACCGAAACTGTCGACGCTTCTCCATCTTCTGAGTTATGGTTTGGTCAGTATTTCTTCCGCCGCGTTATTGTGACTCATCGTCAGCCAAGCCCTGGTAACTCTCCCCATATCCAGAGCAGAGCGGCTACTGGCACTCCAAGTGGATGAGTCTGAGTAGCCCCTGTAGCCGGTCTCCTTTGGATATGGAGGAAGTTACTAGGGATAATAATACATACGAGGAATAGCACAGGAAATAAACTCACAAGACTCAAAATTGCTTAAAGACGACATGGATATGCTTAAAATGGACGAAAGATTGACAAAATGCAGTTTAATGCTTTAAAAATTGTAGGGTTCTGAGCTTGGGTAAAGAAAATAGATACCAGGTATCAGCTGGAATATGTTAAAAGTGCAAAATGTGAATGCGAAAAAGATCTGATAATCATATTTGGTAGAAATCTTAAGCCAATCGTTAGTAAGAAGACATCTAATGCTGCTCTTCAGTTATATATATATATTGCTCGCCTGAGGCTGTGTGGATATCGACAGTGACAGCTCGGTTCCCGTGATCTCTGCTCGAACATTCACAGCGAGGGTGTGGAGGATCATGAACAGTGAGACGTTTAGTATTTGTACAAAGAACCTGTGAAGGTTTCAGATATAAGGATGAGGTAGATATACCTTTCAGATATAAGATATATGGGTGAGGTAGGGAAGGAGGAGTGAGAGAAGTGATGTGGCAGTAAACTGAAAACATAGACTGAGATAAGAGGATAAGGAGCGCCGGAAATGTTTAGTGCTGAACCTTCCCCTCCATGTTTTGTGTGATGTTGGGTTAGTGTGTGTCACTGGGAGGGGGGAAGGAGGGTTTGGCATTACAAGCTGAAGAGCCACGCTCGCATATACTCCACGCTGGAGCTTCAACATACTTAAATAACGTTTAGCAAGGTGTCGAACCCCCCACCCCCACCCCCCCCAACACACACACACACACACACACACACACACACACACACACACACACACACACACACACACACACACACACACACACCACAGAGGCTGGAGAAACGATGTTTCGGTCAGTCCTGGGCCATTATCGAGTGGTATGTGAAGGGTAGTCATTTTAGCATGGAGTTTGCTAATTGTTGTGGTTAGAGGAAAACGAGGAGGAAAAAATATACTGTTAAAATAATGTATTTGGATTTACGGAGAATGTTATTGGTACTTGAAGTAGGCGCAAGTTACTCTTAAGATACGTAAATGGTACTCTGAGGTTTGCTACTTTGTTTTGGAAAATAAACGAGCTAGAAACATGTTCATTTAAGGAAACGCTTCTTTTTGAAGTTGCTTAGACACTAACTCGTTTCTCTTTTATCATCGATGTCATTCAACATGTTCAAGTAGTATATAAATTTTCTGCATGTAGTTTCATGTGAGTAGGTGAGTGAGTATAAGAATAGGTTATGTATGGGGTTGGGGGGGGGGGGTAGGGCGTCTCCAGTCTTGACGTACCTCCGCCACCACCACTGCATTGCGGGAGACGCTAGCGTGGTGAGGAGCCCTGAGCTGCGGTACTCCACAGTATCTCCTCAATGCTATATCACCCTTCTCGCTCTAGGCTTCTCCAGCCCTTCTCCAGCCCCCTCCCTCTTCCCCCCCCCCCCCGGTGGGTTTGGTGTCCGTCCAAGCCCAAGCATTTGTGAGCTTGGACCTATCGATCTCTGGGATACCATTCAGCCCGCTGAATGGGTATACCCCCCTAAGGTTGCTTGGCCTTGTGGCTTGCCTTCTGGAGGCGGCGTGACGGGTGGTGCTGGCGGCGGGAAATCTGTTTCCTGCTGGACCATGGTTCCCCCTTACACCGGTGGGGACTGGACCACCAGGCTCACTCACACCGGGTGGGAAGTTTCGGCTCCGTGGGGGCCGGCTGTGGTGGGCCCTGACCTGGCCTTGTCCAGCCCATCCTCCTGAAATGAAAGTATTTTTACTATTTGGTCGTAAGCACCAATATACAATGATGGACCACCAGACAGTTGATTCGTGTATTACAGTGTTGAGTTTAGACGTAGCAGGAACTTTTTATCCTCAACATTAATGTAAGACTTAACCTAATTTCGCCTAGCAATCATAGGCCTAATACATGTTAGTAATCTTAGGCCTAATGTAGTTCATAATATGCTATTCTAGGCCTAGGAATAATTAAAGTTATTTGTAACTTTATTTTGTTCTGGACTCTTATGAAAATAATATTACAAAAAGGGGTTTACTCATCACTGCAAGTTGCACTGTCAAAGAAATAGTTGCTTCAGGAGGCTAAGTTCCTTTGGCAGGGTGAGGCTCAAGCCCCCCAGTGGTCACTGTCATCGCCTGGGGTGTGGCTACGTGGTGACATCTGCACCATTTACCCCGCTCCTCACTGGGGGTTCACGCCCCCGTCATCATACACACGTTGGATTCCTATTCCGCTGCTACGTTCCTGGATGTGTTTGTCTCCACTGTGTGGCCTCAGTATTTTGATCTCTGTAACGATGACAATACACTCCATTACATCATAATGGTGTGTATTGTACACAACAGCCATGAGCACCTAGTTGACTGTTGATTTTCACTTTAGGCAGATCTCCATCTGGCTTGACACACGAGGAGCTGCGACACCTTCCCAGGAGGCAGCCTACTGCATAACTACTGTGGCCTACAGTGTTTTTTGTGTTTTTTTAAGTGCCAGCATTGACACAGTTCTCCTGCACCATGTTGTGACTGGAGGAAGAAGTAAACCTCAAAGACTGCTTGAAGATGTTAAATATATCCTCAAGGCCCAAGGCTTTTCTATCCTTAATATTGACACATTCATTCGACCCCCCCTCGTGGTCGTCGTCGTCAACCCTTCGAGTCGTTAAAATCACTTATGTTGGTAGGACCCCTCCATCTGTCTTGCTGGTGCCAGATGCTCCTTTCAGGAATATATCCTCCCTCGCCATGCCTCTGTAGTAGGTGTTAGAAATTGGTTATGTGTCCTCAAAGTGCAGAAGCGAAATGTCCCCTTGCCCCTGGTGGTGACCCCGACCATTCTCGTACAGGTTGTTATTCTGTCCAAGTTCACCACATCAACTTCGGAGAGGCCCACCCTTCCTTCCTCCACACATGCGTGCACTGTAAGTTCGAGTAAGCCATCCTTGCCTTGAAACATGGAAATCATCTATCTTTCCCCTGAGGCTTGGCGCCAGGTCTGCTGTCGTAACTCTTTCTCTATCATTACTTATGCTCGTGTATTGCATCGCTCTGCTCTTGCCCTCCCTTCTTCCCTTCCTCAGTTCTGCAACTGTTGCCAAACCTTAAACTCCGACACCTTCTCCAGCTTCTTCTGCTCCTCACTGATCTGAGGCCGTGAGTGTTCCTCGCGGATCACCCACTGTAATGTTCA